CGTTACTTTTTTTGTTTAGTACTTGTACTTTTACTTGTACTTTTTACTCGTTACTTTTTAAAATAAGAACTTTTTACTTTTTACTCGTTACTTTTTTTAAAAATACTTGTACTTTTACTCGTTACTTTTTAAAAGTAACGTTACCATATATGATTACTATTCTTACATGAATTTCAATTCCAAAAACTCTTTCATTTACCTATAGAAGAAATAAATGACCCTCTAAATGGTTAAAGTATTATTTTTTATTCATATATATTTATTTTTCATGCCACTAATGTAGAAATGATTTAAAAGTGCATATTCAGCGCCACTTAGTTCCATCTCTTTCGTGGGGAGGCTCTTAAAATGTTGGCAAACTTTTCAAAAAGTCTGTAAGCTTTGGTTTTTATATGTTTAGCACCATATGAAATATTTTGCAAAAAGAGCAGTTGTTGGCAGGCTTGATATTGTATAAATGAAATAATTATTATAAAAAGCATAAAAATTTAGAAATATGAAATATTACATCTTAAACCCCTTAATGGGCCATTTATTTCTAGTAAAAGCAAATTAAAGTATTTTTGGATTTGAAATTGATATAAGAATAATAATTAATATAAGAAAAAAACTCATTTCGCTCATGAAAAATTAATCTAAATTTTAATGTAATTTTTTTTGGTGGTAAGTATATTTACCACGACCTATTAGGAACTTATTGACTTTTATTTTTCCCTATTTATAAAACAAATTTTATAAATGCTGCAAACTTCAAAAGGAATTATGTATTATATAACTTTTATACGTTTTATTTTAACCTAACAAATGGTTACCAATTTTATTCAAATGCACTTCAAGAAAGCTGAAATTATTAACAAGTGGAAACAAGTATATTAAAAGTGGTAAAAATGTTCCCCATGGAAGTTGTGGTAAGTATACTTACCGTGGCCTAAGGTTAAATAGTACAATTAGAAATACAGCTGTTTTGCAGATAGCTGAGAATAAAAGAGAAAAGATACTGCCTGCCTTTCTTAAAGAATGAATAAATAATCAATATTGTCTATATTAATTATAAATTCATACAGTGTATGTTTAAAAGTGGAATATGTTTTTAGGGCTTACAACGAAATTGGTGAACTATTATGTAGTTTAGTTGAATAGAAAGGTTTTTAGAACAAGAAATTTCACAAATTTCATTCAGTCTCGCTTCAGCATCTCAATTCTTTTTATTTATACACAACTTAAAGGAAGGATTTAGTGAAATTTGGAAAAAAATAGTTTTTTTTTCCTAGAAAAACTCTTATTTTTGTCTTATTCTGCCATGAATATCCAACCAATGCTGCGAATAAGGTTGGTTAAGTAGGTGATAGGATCTATTCTTCTCGGTTTTATCCTCTGTGTCTAGAAAGGGATTATTCTAGGATAGGATTTGATGAGTGCAGTACGCTAAATGAATAGAAATGAGTAAAAAAAAATGCGTTGCTCGCAGATAGGATCTGATTCATTACTAAGTTTTTAATGGGAAAGTGCGAAAATAAATATATTATTAAAAAACTTAAGATGAGCCTGTAAATAAAATACGTTATTCTAAAAATATTCTAGAAAGAAAATAACTGTTGCGAACCTTCAATATTTCGAAAAAAAGCTCTTTTTGGAAAAAGTAGTGGGTATTTATATAACTTCTACTGTCTAAATTGGAGGTTTATCTTGAATACATATATATGCCAACTTCTCTACAATGAATCTTAACACAGAGCTGCCAACCGGAAAGATCTAGCTCACCTGATAATTTAAAGATAATGTTTAATAATTAAGAAAACAGAAGATCTTAACTATTTGCTATCACCACCGTTAACATTTTTAACTATAAGTCTTTTGAAGCAACAAAAACAAATCGTGCCCAATTGAATGTGAACAATCATAGAAATGCAGAAAGTGAACTCATTTCACTTTAAAAACTAAAGGCTGGCGGATCACAGATATCTCAATATATTATTTATTTGACTTCAAAATATTTAATATTTTAAAAGTAAAAGAAAATAATTTTTCACTGGTAAAATTTTAAAAAAATACGCATTATGAATTACTCTCTTTAACAATGAGTAATACTCTATAAAAAGCTTATGAAGTACATAAAAAGCCTTTAAGGTGCATATTGTATTTTTACCGAGAACATGTCAATGAAAGAAGGGCCATTTTTTGAAGAAATGGGCAATTTTTCATATCGAAAAAGAATGAAAGATCGTACCGGAAATTTGATCGTAAAAGTCTCAAAAAGTACTGACAAAAAGAAGACTGGAGATTATACTAAAAAATGGTTTCCTTTTAAAAAACCACTTAAATATTTTATTATAGGTTTTAGGTTATAGATTTAAGTTTTATTAGGATAATAAACTAAACAGTTATAAGAGTTGTTACGGAAAACCTCAAGCTAAAAATGTAAGATATAATTAATCGAAAAGAAAAAAAACTTCTACGTGAAATAATGTTGTAGAATATTTTCATTTATAGCAAAACAAATAATATATTCGTAGAGTCCTTATTTAATATATATATATCTAAGGTTAAATAGTACAATTAGAAATACAGCTGTTTTGCAGATAGCTGAGAATAAAAGAGAAAAGATACTGCCTGCCTTTCTTAAAGAATGAATAAATAATCAATATTGTCTATATTAATTATAAATTCATACAGTGTATGTTTAAAAGTGGAATATGTTTTTAGGGCTTACAACGAAATTGGTGAACTATTATGTAGTTTAGTTGAATAGAAAGGTTTTTAGAACAAGAAATTTCACAAATTTCATTCAGTCTCGCTTCAGCATCTCAATTCTTTTTATTTATACACAACTTAAAGGAAGGATTTAGTGAAATTTGGAAAAAAATAGTTTTTTTTTCCTAGAAAAACTCTTATTTTTGTCTTATTCTGCCATGAATATCCAACCAATGCTGCGAATAAGGTTGGTTAAGTAGGTGATAGGATCTATTCTTCTCGGTTTTATCCTCTGNATATAAACTCCTCTTTGTGAAAATTGCAACACCATGAAGGAATCGTCATAATTGAATGAAATTTACTACACGGTTGAGTGGTAGTGGTACGAATAAATGATTAAACTTTCAAAGCAAACAAACAATAACAAGAGATCGAAATCAGCATTTTGTGTAGCCACCTCGCACCGCAATAAGCGCTGCAACACTTCGTGGTATGGAGTCAAGTAAATTTTGAATGTCTCTCTGAGGAAGAACATTCCATATAGTTTGCATGCGTACCCAAAGTTCGTCTGTAGAAGCAACAGGACGAGGATCACGAGCGAGGCACCGGCCAACGAAATGACACACATGTTCAATCGGTGACATATCTGGGGAATACGCAGGCCAAGGAAGAAGCTGTACCTGCCACAATGCAAGGAAGGATTGAACAGTCCTAGCTATATGAGGGCGGGCATTGTCTTATTGAAATACAGTGCCTGGCAAGGCTTGAAGGAGGGGAACAGCTTGGGGCTGTAAAACTTCACTGGTGTACCGGTTGTTGTTCAGATTACCCACAATTCGCAGCAATTGAGATCGTCCATGATATGCTATGGCACCCCAGACCATAACTCCGGGTGTTTGTTCACTGTGGCGCTCGATAATGCACTACGGAAGGTGACATTCACAGGCATAGCGTCTGACACTGATGCGGCCATTATGGTACCAAAAATTTAAGCGGGATTCGTCAGAAAACACGATATGCTGCCAATCAGCACGCCAGTCCTTATGCTGATTGGCCCATTGTAGCCGCAGGCGGCTATGGTTTAGCGTGAGGGTGATCCTGTATAAAGAAGTCCTTGCACGCAGTCCACGCTGCAGTTAACGTCTACGAATTGATGAAGCGCACAATGAAACACCTGTAGCTATGGACCACTGTGCTACCAGTTGTCTAGAGGGAGCCGTACGGTCTGTCAGCGCCATGCGGACCAGGTGTCTATCATCGCGAGCTGACGTGACATTTTGGGGTCCACTCCCGGATTTCCGAGTTGTCCGACACTCGTCCATCCACTGCTTCCAAACACGCATCACTGTGCTGCTGTTACGCTGCACACGAGCGGCTACTGCCCGATGAGACAATCCAGCTTCACGAAGGCCGATGATTCTCCCCCTTTGAAATTCCGTAAGTTGTTGAAATCTCGCTCTCTTTCGTCGAAGAGGCATAAGTAACGTTTGAGCTAACGTTTATCACTAGCAGATAACCATACACGCCTCGCTACAGCCGTCTATTTATTCGGATCCATCCGCCGTTCAGAGGGCGCTGCTCAGCATACGCATGCGCTAAGGGTCTAAAATTCTAATCATTCGCATATTATGCTCTACTTTGCATTTCCTGAAAATTTCAGCTCACTCGCGTAAGTCCTACATGGTGTTGCAATTTTTACAAACATGAGTATATATATTTCAAACAGCTTCACAACGGATAGGATAGGGCACGCGTCGCTGTCAACTACTCCACAAGGTTTCCTACAAGTAATCCGATCTGACCACTATGAAGGTAAACCAGTTTACGAAGGAACCGTTTAATATAAAATCTAGTAAAAATGAGAAAGTAGATACAAATATATGTCTACAGAATTATTAATTTATGAATTTGATTGGTTTGTCTTATTTACTTCTCAATCACTACTAATTCAATTCTCAAAAATATATGCTAAATTTCTCTCAAGTACTTTTAACACATTGCTGACCGGTCCAACGCCTCCTATAACTGAAAGCCTCCACACGGTTTTTTAGAGGTAGTCCGATCAAACCACTGTGAAGGATATCCACTTACCGAACGATGGGATAGGGGCCGCGTCGCTGTCAGCTACTCCACAAGGTTTTCTATAAGTAGTCCGATCTGACCACTATGAAGGTAAAACAGTTTACGAAGGAGCCGTTTAATATAAAATCTAGTTAAAATGAGAAAGTGGTAGCAAATATATGATTAAAATTTTATTTTATTAATGAATATTATTGGTTTGCTTATTCACTTGTCAACCACTGCAGATTCAATTCTCAAATATATAAGATAAATTTCTCTCAATTACTTTTATAAAAGGTTTTGGTTTCATGCGCACAACTGGTTCACTTTTTAAACAGTCTGCGCGGACTACTTATAAAAGACCCTGTGGAGGCTTCTTGATGTAGGAGGTGATGACCGGTCACGAGTTAACTCGTGTTTTCGTTAGCAGTTATCTCGTGGTGACTATATTAGAAAGTGGGAGTAATTTTCCTTACTTTTCAAGTTTTACTATTTAATTCTCTACCAATTTTTTATAACTTTACGAAACCCGATATATTTGCAAAACATGAGGTGTACCTTTGCACATAGGTGATTGTTATATTTTTTTTTTCATACGGCATTGAAAATTAAAAACTTTTAAACTTTTTTTTACATTGTTTTACTCCCACATCCGCTTTCAAAACAATAGCCGAACCCATGGGGCAATTTTCAGAAAAGTTACCGGTCAGCAATGTTTTAAAATAGAATTTGGGTTTATGCACACAACTGTTTCACTTTTTAAATAGTTTGCAAAGTCTACTTATAAAATACCGTTTGGAGGCATTTTGATGTAGGAGATAATGGCTACATCCGTTTTCTTCAACGCATATTTCGAGCCAAATCCATTTTTTTTTGCATGCAGTTTTTTAACTACACCCACTTTTCAAAGGTGCATTTCGAGCTACATCCTTTTTTTGAGACTCGCACTTTGAGCTATAACCAAAATAAAAAGTACACCAAACATTTCCTGGTGCATTTTTAAATAAGCAAGATATTGCAATTATTGCAAAATATTGCAAATTACTAAAAATGCAAAACTACTTGCTTGTAATTGTCTTCTATTTTTAGCAAACACTATGTATTTTATAACAAAGAGTTCAAGTATATATGTTTACTAGGTTTCATATAGTCTGTGGATGCATTAGTTAATATGCTGCCTGTTCAATATCACATTTCCTGGATCAGAAAGGGTAAAAGCTGGCTCAAAAACTTTTTTGCAAATTAAATTTTAGTAAAGTTTAAAGAAGTTTCTGCGAATTTGAAGGGTGAAAATGAAGTTTAGAAAAATTTTATGAATATTTTTTTCCTTACGTTTTATAAAATCTTCTTATAAATAAAAGAGAAACAAAATGGCGTATTTTCTAAACTTTTGGGGGAAAAAAGCATTTCTTTGAAGTCATGTCTGATGAAAATCCAGAAAAAAGTGCCGATTTAATCAATACTTTAAACCGCAAAACGCGTCAGAAAATTTTGATAAAAAGTTTTTTTTTAAGAAGTAATAAAATGTTCCATAGATCAAAGAAATTAAAACTTAGTTAAGCTTCTTCAAAGATATACTTTTATGAATATTTCATTGAATTAGCTGTGATATTTACCGCTAGTTTTGCTTATAAAAGTAAGACAATTTATTGAAAAAAAACTTTTTTTAGATACAAATCAATGCTAGAGTAAAAATAGTAAGATACAGATTTTAATAACATTAGCTCATTTTTCAGTAAAAAAAAATATTTTACAAGATAAAAAAAACTTACTACATATCTTGGAGTTAAAAAAAAAATTAAGCGAATTTTTAAACTGATTCGATAATAACCTTTTTTCAAATTGTAACACAGGTTCTAGAAGCTTGTTTTTCATGGCAAATACAAAAGTCAATAAGTTTACTCTAATTTTGAGTAAAATTTACTTAATAAATCAATACATCAAAACTTTGAGTCCAAGTCCAAAAAAAAAAATTATCGCCTAACAGCATTTAATTTTTAAAAACATAATTGCTCTTTCTACTTAGATATATTTAGATATATTTGGATTTAGATATATTTAGATATATTTATAATATATTTGCAATAGATATATAGAAATAGATATATAGAAATAGATATATTTTGAGATCTGAAGTCAACGCAGATTACAGCTTCAAAAATTCAATTTAAGTGAAATTTACTTTATAAAACAATACCTTAGTACTTAGCATTTAGGATGGTTCCTTTTTAAAAAAAATAATTAAATAAAAGTATTGTGTGGCTTAATAGATTTATTTTCCAAAAATAAGATAGTTCTTTCTATTGTAATGTACCTATAATAAATATATATATATATGTATTGAGATCAGAAGTCAACGCAAATTGCAATTTCAAAAATTCAATTTCAGTGAAATTTACATTATAACTTAATAACTTAGTACTTAGTGCTAGTACTATTTTTGAAAAATTCTACAAGCGAAATTCCCCAAATTATGTACGTCAAAAATTCATTCAATAACTTAAAATATTCGATTTTCGAAAAAAGTGGCCTCTGTTAACACGCTCACGCTGGGTGTTGCGCCTGAAAGCGGGACGGAAAAGAGAAAATGATGGAAGAAGAACTATTTCACTATTAGGTAATATTCGGGAGGGCTTAATCTATTCTCAACAATAACATTTCACTGTAAGGCAATTTATCACGACGAAGAAGCAATTCAATATAAAAGTTGCATCCGTTAAAAACAATTGTTAGTTATGAATTTTTATTATTCCCGGAAAAAAACTAAAAAATTTAATTTATTTGTTACCAGTTTTTACTCCGGTGCGCCACCCGATGAGACAATCTAGCGTGACCCACCGGTGGGTCACCCCGGCGTGAACGTGTCAAAAATGCTACAAATGCGCACTGACCAGTAGTAAAATTCCCTAATTTTGCACTAAAACTAAAATAATAGTTCTTGATTCTGCATCCATACCTGCCAACTTTTAATCCCTTCCATCATGATTTTTCCCAGTGGTATTAAAATGGAATTAAATTTTCAATTGTAAGCAAAATAATATGTTGTATTTGAAAATCTTCAGTTGACAACCAAGAAAGTAATGCATATTAATATACATGCTAAATTTTTTTAAGAATACTGGTGATCGAAATGAGTTTAAATTTAAGTTTATAAAATAAAAAATAGTATATATTTACTACCACTTTAAATATAAGAATAACATTTTACGCCAAATGCGTAAAAGTTGGCAGGTGTATGCATCTCATGTTTTGTTGAACAAATTCTTTAATAAAGAAAATTAATGTAATTACCTGTAATTATAATAAATTAAATTTATTTATAAGTAAAATTCTTCATCACACATTAAAAATACAACCCTCGAGAAATTCAAGTAATGTTTTTACTATTTTTACCTAAATTAAATCTTAAGTTAAGTGAGATTTGCTCTGATGTTTTATGATGTGTTATTCAGTGTATTGATCGTCTACTGGACGAGAATCAAAAGAAAAAAACATCATGTTATTGCCACATAATCAATACTGAGCACGAAGAAAAGAAATACAAACCCATAATTGGGAAAAAAATTTACCAAGAATAATGGGTTGAGTGATTTTGAGTGTTCTGTAGTAATGGGATTGAATAAAAACTAAAAGGAACATTTATTTACACTGCTTTCAGTACATGAAACAATGCAACATGTTATTGTTTGAAGATGAACAAAACTTAACAAAAAAGCTTTTAAATTTGCTATTTTAAAATAGATTTTGTTTTAAGAAAAAAAAGGATTTAGTTTATTACATTTCTTTGTTTTTATTTTAAAGAAACGGAAAATTTCTAACAACAGTGACGCAGTTTTAAAACTAAAAATATTGCCTTCAACACGGTTTTAAAAAGTAAAAGCAGAGATGCCAACTTCTCCGAACAGCGGATAAATATTTTCGAGTGGTAGTATTTTAATTAACGCGTTGAACGCCAAGCTAATTTTACATGGCTTGTCCATCTGGCCACGGTAAATAACTACAAACTAAATTTGCAAATATTAGACGGATTTTGCTATTTTTTTAGAATGCTTATCATGACATATCTGATAAAAGTGGTGAATTATATAAGCCTACGAATTGTGTAGAAATAGTGGTGGACAAAAATCTACTAAATTGAATTTATTAAACCAAGAATCACAATAATTAAGTAAATTTTGAATAAATTTTCTGCAATTCCATAAAAGAGTGTAAATTTTATAGTTCTATATCATGTTATACGCTGTCAGCCAGCCGTTTTTCGCGGCCTATGTGAAAGGTCAGTGTCAGCAAAAGGTGGCAGACGCAGCCTAAATGTAATTTCAGTGTCAGCCACCGGTGGTTGAAGCGGCGCTCCACGTGTTAATGCATGCATACCTGCCAACTTTTACGCATTTGGCGTAAAATGTTATTTTTATAT